ACTACCCTTGTCCCTAAATAAGTACGCCGGATATATGATAAACAAAATCCATTTGGTTGTATAAGACTTCGTCAAAGACAAAAAAATGTCAGGTGGACGTGTTTTGTTGCCAATATTCAAGATGGAAAGTAAGCTTTCGATGCAGGCAGAAGGAATAATATCACCTAATACTCAGCAACTTAACCCATTGATATCAATTTTTCAAATGAATGCCAGATTCATTTGAGTGTTTCTCTTTTTTCAAAGGTGCTATCATTTCTCAAGTCCACCATTGAATGGCCTTGTGACCATCCTTTTTTTTCAAAGGTACTAACATTTTCAAGTTCACTACTAAGTGACCGCGTGATCATTTCTTCCCAAGTGTGCAATTACTTTCAAGTTCATTATTAAGTGGCCTTGTGATTATCCCCTCTCCAATGTACTATCATTTTCAAGTTCACCACTAAATGACCTCATGACCATCCCTTATTCATGACTTACTTGAATATTAAGTCTTGAATTCTGTGCGCATGCACTAGTTCCTCCCATCTCCAATAAAATTTCCTAAGTTCACACAAAAAATAAAAAAGTGCTATCATTCTCATATGCATAAAGATTGTGGGATATTTGTTTTTCTGACCGACTTGGACCTGGGGGGCCAATCCCATGTGAAACAATACGACTACTAGGAGGGAGTAGTGTGGAGATGTAACAGCACCAAACTCTTTTTTTTTTTTTTTTTTTTGAACATGGAAAATATGGAGAAGAGAGATTGAATTTATAAGATTAGATTCACAATCTAAAACTAAGGTTTTAGTCTTGATATATATTTGCCCCTTATCCAGTACAATAAATGCTGTAGGTACAATACCAAACTATATTTTCTCCAAAAAAAAAAAAAATAAATAAAGGCCTAATAACTTTAAGGTCCAAAGATCTACAAAGTTAAAAGAATGCATATTTTTATTTTATTTCATAAAAGAGTTTTCAAGTAATTAAGGGATAATTACTAGTAATACAAAAATTGATAATCGGTTAATATCCAACTAAATCCAAACAAACGAAGGGTCTTATCATGCTACTCCTTAACTATTTTAAAAGATTAAAAGACCCAAAAATTTACCGTTACTGCTTTAATCTCTCTCATATTATCCCTTAACTATATGGTCAAAAGGTCTACAAAGCAACCAATTTTGAGATACTAGTCTATTTAACCGCGGAGGCATGCTCTCAACATGGATTCGTGGCAAAAAGTTTGAGAGGAAAATCTATGGCCAGTCCTTCACCTTACTAAATATGAATGTGTCAACTCTCAACTTATAATATGAAAGTTTTAGCTTTTTATTTTTCTTATTTAAATAAAAAACCCAAAATAGATGACGGCATCATATGCTCATTAAAATTCCATTACTCACTGTTATATCAGTACTAATGTAGCAATTTCCTGCCACCATGATTGCCATCATGGATAATAAAATTTTATTATCCATCGTGGACTTCCACCATGACAATTCTTTTTTATTGATATGTCAAGAACACGGATTTTTACTTTTATTAAACCTAATAAAATTGGATTCAATCCAAAAATTCAACTCAACCCATTCACTATGAGTTGGGTTATATGTTTAAAATATCAATCTAAAACATATATAATCTATTTCAAAATTTCTCAAACTTGACTATGTTAGAGCAGAATTGGGTTAAGTCAACATAAAGTGACCCAACTAAAGTTAATTAATTTTTTTGAATCTAAAATTTTGATTAATTATTTTTAATTTTAATTTAAGTATAAAATTAAATTAAATATTACAAAATGATTATTATTTATTAGATTATTAATTTAATATTAACTTAAAAGATTTCTTTGACTAAATAATTAATTACATTAAAAATTTTTAAAGAAAAATAGAGAAAATATTAAAAAATTTAATTTTAATTTTAATTTCTTAAAAAATTGGGTTAATCTAATTCAATCCGAAATCCGTGTAAATAAGTTATGAATCTACTCTTTTAACTTAAAATCTAAAATGACAAACCCAATAAATTCGAAATCTGAAGTGATCCAACTTGATCTGATTTATTTGTTAGGTCTAGTTTTTATTGTTTATAATGGTAGTCCATGATAGCAAGGAATTGCCATGTTGGCATTGACATAGCAATGGGTAACAAAATTTTATAAAGCACATGATGTTGCCTTCCATTTTGGGTTTTTTTTATTTAGGTTGAAAAGATAAGGGATTAAAACTTTCATATTATAAGTTGAGGAGATAATATTTTCATAGTTAGTAAGGTGGAGGGCTGACCATGGATTTTTGCCAAAAGTCCAAAGAGTCATCATGTCGTTTAAAAAAAAGCACTTCTTTATTAGTTTCTCTGTATATATGGTCCTTTGTAGGTCAGTCAATTGCATCTCTTAACCCAGAAGTCTCCTCTCTTTCCTTGCATAATCACAAACTTCTGATTCCACCAATGACTTGCCAAACGGGTTTCTCCAGCAACTACATGCTCCTGAAACCCAATGAGCTGAAATTTATGGATCTGTTTCACATCCTGTTTTCCAGTGACATACAGAAGGGGAAGTTTATGGACTGCAGCCACTCGTCCCCGACGAGGGAGGTCGACAGTTTCCGGCATAGATGGATAATATTCATCTCCATCGTGGCGCAGAAGTTCTTGATGTTTATGGCAAAACCCATCGCCGGAATGGGGTGGCTGCTCGAGAAGTGGCTTAACCTCTTGCACAGCAACGGCAACTTTGGTCGTCTCTTGGTCAATCTTGTACGAGGTGCGTCTGTTGTCTTAATTAATTTCCGTTTGTTAAGGTAATTAATTAGCTTGTTAATAGTCCCATTAAATCATCATGTTACATACATTGTTTTGCACATAAGCTTTTGTACCAGTTGTTTCCTTGGGGCATTAGACAGAGTTCCCTTCAAGTTAGAAACAGAATGTCTGATTTCTTAGTCCACCCTTTTGGACTTTTTCTTTTGCTTTTTATGGTTTAAACTAAGAAATTGGTAATTTGGTGTATACCGTGTTTGATTCAGAGGGTGAACAAGGAATTATGAAATTTCACAATTTTATTATCTCAAAATAGTACACTTTTCTTAAAGGGTGTTAAAGGTTTTCTGCAATAATTAAAAGTAAGTATTGTCCTTGATCTATTATTTCTAACATATAAGATGAAAAGACATCATATAAAAAAATTGTTTGTGAGTTAATGGCTTAACATGTACCACACTAAAAGATTAATTTGCCAATTAATACTTTAACTACTTAATCTTTTATATTGAAGAGTAAAGTATACCAATTATATATATAATGGACTAATTAACTCTAAAGTTGAATTTATTGATAAATAAGATTAGAGTTTAAATTTCTTTGAATGTATTATATAAATATAAGAGAGTGTGCCTTAAAAGAAAACGTTAAGAGATTTATTGGGTGTGCATGAGATCTGAGTGTGAAATGGAGATTTGGATTTATGTCATTAAACATAATTAAATCCACTATAGCAGCAGCACACCATAACACCAAATCAATATAATAATGTATTATATCTTAATTAATTACATGGATGACTTATCTTCGACTCTTAATCTTACTTGTAGTGCGTGGACAGAGTTCAATTTGTGACTTCAAATCAAAATAATTCATATTTTCATTATCTCTCTATGATGGGATCTGATGCTGCTCACACATTGTTGTCGATCTATACAGCTCAAAAGCCTGTACCAAAAGCAACATTGTGTGACTTCACCTGCATTTTATTAATTAAATAATTAATTACCTGACAGAATCAACTAGTTAAATAAATTACAAGTGTTAATTAAAAAAAAAAAATCTCACTTGAACAAGTTCGGGGTAATTCTGCCCCATTGGCCAGAAAATATTTGTGTTTGTTAATTAAATGTTAATGTGTGGATACAGGGAATGTTGAAAGTCCAGATAAAGAGGGGGAAAATTTCATATCCTTTATTGGAAATTTGGACAGAAGAGTGGAGCTTGATCGCAGCATTAAGCATGAAGATGGCTCCAGATACTACGCCGCACTCGCTATGATGGCATCCAAAGCATCCTACGAGAATAAAGCCTATATCCAAAAGACAGTCACTCATCACTGGAAGGTATTTATAATAAATTATCTGATACTAAAAAAGATTGTTGAGTATAGAATAAACTGAATGTTCAAAAATTAATATGCATCAATTCATAATTTTTGCAATTTGTGCAGATGGAGTTCCTTGAATTTTTTGACTATTGGAATGGTGCGTGCTAAAGAACCTTAATTTTTGCAGTAAATCAAACAATATTCAATTAATTTAGTTTTGTAATTACCCCCTTTTTTTTTTCTTTTTTCTTTTTTTTTTGAATTTTCATGGCAGATTTCCAAGAAAAGGCCACAACACAGGCATTCTTGCTTCATGATAAAAACAACGATCATGACACCATTGTCGTGGCATTTCGAGGCACAGAACCATTTGATGCAGATGCATGGTGTTCAGACTTTGATCTATCATGGTATGAGCTCCCTAATATTGGGAAAATTCACGGTGGGTTCATGAAAGCCTTGGGGTTGCAGAAAAATGACGGCTGGCCTAATGAACCCTCTAATGACAACAAACGCTCAGCACCCTTAGCTTACTATGCCATAAGGGAAAAGCTAAGAGAATTGCTCAGCGGAAACGACCAAACTAAATTTATCCTAACAGGGCACAGTCTTGGCGGCTCGCTTGCTATCTTATTCCCTGCAATTCTGGCTTTTCACAAGGACAAAACGCTGTTAGAGAGACTGGAAGGAGTGTATACTTTTGGACAACCTAGAGTTGGAGATGAGCATTTTGGGCAGCACATGCAGAAGACATTGAAGGAGAATGGTATTCGGTATTTCAGATTTGTTTATGGAAGCGACATTGTGCCGAGGTTGCCTTACGACGACAAGGATCTTATGTTCAAGCACTTTGGCACCTGCCTCTACTTCGATCGGCATTACAAGGGAAAGGTGCATTCCTTGTCCTTCTTGCATTAATAACTTGGTCATAATCCCTTTTCTTTTGCAGTTTCAAATTGCTTCAGAGTTATTGGATGTGGGACTTCCCCACATTCAGAAGGTCCCCATCTAATGAGATTAGGGGAGAACATATTTACAATCATTTTTCAATTAATAATGTTTAACAATTTTGTCTCTATTGTCTTTAATCTAGAATTTAAGACAATAATTAATGTAGTAGTTGTTTTTGTGATTGTTTTCCAGGTTATTACTGAGGAACCAAACAAAAACTATTTCTCACCAATTGGGGCTATAAGAATGAAGGCAAATGCATTCATGGAGCTAATAAGGAGCTTCACCATATCTCACTCAAGGGGACGGGAGTATAAAGAAGGGTGGTTACTAAGAGGTTTTAGGATAATTGGATTGGTGATTCCTGGCATCCCAGCACATTGTCCCCAAGATTATGTGAACGCCACCCGTCTTGGACCCTCAGATCTTTTTCTTTCCCACGCCTAATTAGCACAATTGATTTTGCTTTAATTTCCATGTTGGCTGGCCATTGCAATTCAAAGAGGGAGGGCTGATTATGTACAAGAATTTTAATCAATTGTACAAATCAATGTGTTTCAAGTTGAACCATTTGAAAGTGTGATTGGAAGACATTCAATTCCTTCATTTAATTCAAGTAGATTTTGTTTGACATTTTGATTTTTTAAATATTATTTTCAGATGAAAATTTATTAAAATATATAAATAACAACTGAACTCCTATATTTTTTGTTGAATAGCTTTATTTGAGAAAAAAATTTCAACTGTCATTTATGTATATTATATTAAATTTTTATATAAAA